TACAACAAACGTGGATTTTTCTAAAAAAATATTTTTCATGATCTACAACAAACGTGGATTTTTTAAAAATTATTTTTCATGATCTACAACAAACGTGTATTTTTCAAAAAATTATTTTTCATGATCTACAACAACCGTGGATTTTTTAAAAATTATTTTTCATCATCTACAACAAACGTGGATTTTTTAAAAATTATTTTTCATGATCTGCAACAAAGGTGGATTTTTTAAAAATTATTTTTCATGATCTACAACAAAGGTGGATTTTTTAAAAACAATTTTTCATGATCTACAACAAACGTGGATTTTTTAAAAATTATTTTTTCAAAGTAGCAACAAACGTGGATTTTTTAAAAAATCATTTTTCATGATCTACAGCAAACGTGGATTTTTTAAAAAATCATTTTTCATGATCTACAACAAACGTGGATTTTTTAAAAAAATCATTTTTCATGATCTACAACAAACGTGGATTTTTTAAAAAATCATTTTTCATGACCTACAACAAACGTGGATTTTTTAAAAAAATCATTTTTCATGATCTACAACAGACGTGGATTTTTTAAAAATTATTTTTCATCATCTACAACAAACGTGGATTTTTTAAAAATTATTTTTCATCATCTACAACAAATGTGGATTTTTTAAAAATTATTTTTCATCATCTACAACAAACGTGGATTTTTTAAAAATTATTTTTCATCATCTACAACAAACGTGGATTTTTTAAAAATTATTTTTTATGATCTACAACAAACGTGGATTTTTTAAAAACAATTTTTCATGATCTACAACAAACGTGGATTTTTTAAAAATTATTTTTCATCATCTACAACAAACGTGGATTTTTTAAAAATTATTTTTCATCATCTACAACAAACGTGGATTTTTTAAAAATTATTTTTCATCATCTACAACAAATGTGGATTTTTTAAAAAATTTTTTCATGATTTACAACAAATGTGGATTTTTTAAAAATTATTTTTCATCATCTACAACAAATGTGGATTTTTTAAAAATTATTTTTCATAATCTACAACAAACCTGGATTTTTTAAAAATTATTTTTCATAATCTACAACAAACCTGGATTTTTTAAAAATTATTTTTTTAAAAATTATTATTTAAAAATTATTTTTCATAATCTACAACAAACGTGGATTTTTTAAAAATTATTTTTCATGATCTACAACAAACGTGGATTTTTTAAAAATTATTTTTTTAAAAATTATTATTTAGAAATTATTTTTCATCATCTACAACAAACGTGGATTTTTTAAAAATTATTTTTCATCATCTACAACAAACGTGGATTTTTTAAAAAATTATTTTTCATCATCTACAACAAACGTGGATTTTTTTAAAATTATTTTTCCACGTGGATTTTTTAAAAATTATTTTTCATCATCTACAACAAACGTGGATTTTTTTAAAATTATTTTTCATCATCTACAACAAACGTGGATTTTTTAAAAATTATTTTTCATCATCTACAACAAATGTGGATTTTTTAAAAATTATTTTTCATCATCTACAACAAACGTGGATTTTTTAAAAATTATTTTTCATCATCTACAACAAACGTGGATTTTTTAAAAAATATTTTTCATCATCTACAACAAACGTGGATTTTTAAAAATTATTTTTCATGATCTACAACAAACGTGGATTTTTTAAAAATTATTTTTCATGATCTACAATAAAACGTGGATTTTTTAAAAATTATTTTTCATAATCTACAACAAACCTGGATTTTTTAAAAATTATTTTTCATAATCTACAACAAACCTGGATTTTTTAAAAATTATTTTTCATAATCTACAACAAACCTGGATTTTTTAAAAATTATTTTTCATAATCTACAACAAACGTGGATTTTTTAAAAATTATTTTTCATCATCTACAACAAACGTGGATTTTTTTAAAATTATTTTTCCACGAGGATTTTTTAAAAATTATTTTTTTAAAAATTATTATTTAAAAATTATTTTTCATCATCTACAACAAACGTGGATTTTTTAAAAATTATTTTTCATCATCTACAACAAACGTGGATTTTTTAAAAATTATTTTTCATCATCTACAACAAAAGTGGATTTTTTTAAAAATTATTTTTCATCATCTACAACAAACGTGGATTTTTTAAAAATTATTTTTCATCATCTACAACAAAAGTGGATTTTTTTAAAAATTATTTTTCATCATCTACAACAAACGTGGATTTTTTTTAAATTATTTTTCCACGTGGATTTTTTAAAAATTATTTTTCATAATCTACAACAAACGTGGATTTTTTAAAAATTATTTTTCATAATCTACAACAAACGTGGATTTTTTAAAAATTATTTTTCATCATCTACAACAAACGTGGCTTTTTTTAAAATAATTTTTCCACGTGAATTTTTTAAAAATTATTTTTCATGATCTAAAGCAAAGTGGATTTTTTAAAAATTATTTTTCATCATCTACAACAAACGTGGAATTTTTAAAAATTATTTTTCATCATCTACAACAAATGTGGATTTTTTAAAAATTATTTTTCATATTCTACAACAAACGTGGATTTTTTAAAAATTATTTTTCATCATCTACAACAAACGTGGATTTTTTAAAAATTATTTTTCATCATCTACAAAAAACGTGGATTTTTTAAAGATTGTTTTTCATAATCTACAAGAAACGTGGATTTTTTAAAAATTATTTTTCATCATCTACAACAAACGTGGATTTTTTAAAAATTATTTTTCATCATCTACAACAAACGTGGATTTTTTAAAAATTATTTTTCATCATCTACAACAAATGTGGATTTTTTAAAAATTATTTTTCATGATTTACAACAAACGTGGATTTTTTAAAAATTATTTTTCATCATCTACAACAAATGTGGATTTTTTAAAAATTATTTTTCATGATTTACAACAAACGTGGATTTTTAAAAATTATTTTTCATGACCTACAACAAACGTGGATTTTTTAAAATAATCATTTTTCATGATCTACAACAGACGTGGATTTTTTAAAAATTATTTTTCATAATCTACAACAAACCTGGATTTTTTAAAAATTATTTTTCATAATCTACAACAAACCTGGATTTTTTAAAAATTATTTTTTTAAAAATTATTATTTAAAAATTATTTTTCATAATCTACAACAAACGTGGATTTTTTAAAAATTATTTTTCATGATCTACAACAAACGTGGATTTTTTAAAAATTATTTTTTTAAAAATTATTATTTAGAAATTATTTTTCATCATCTACAACAAACGTGGATTTTTTAAAAATTATTTTTCATCATCTACAACAAACGTGGATTTTTTAAAAAATTATTTTTCATCATCTACAACAAACGTGGATTTTTTTAAAATTATTTTTCCACGTGTATTTTTTAAAAATTATTTTTCATCATCTACAACAAACGTGGATTTTTTTTAAATTATTTTTCATCATCTACAACAAACGTGGATTTTTTAAAAATTATTTTTCATCATCTACAACAAATGTGGATTTTTTAAAAATTATTTTTCATCATCTACAACAAACGTGGATTTTTTAAAAATTATTTTTCATCATCTACAACAAACGTGGATTTTTTAAAAAATATTTTTCATCATCTACAACAAACGTGGATTTTTAAAAATTATTTTTCATGATCTACAACAAACGTGGATTTTTTAAAAATTATTTTTCATGATCTACAATAAAACGTGGATTTTTTAAAAATTATTTTTCATAATCTACAACAAACCTGGATTTTTTAAAAATTATTTTTCATAATCTACAACAAACCTGGATTTTTTAAAAATTATTTTTCATAATCTACAACAAACGTGGATTTTTTAAAAATTATTTTTCATAATCTACAACAAACGTGGATTTTTTTAAAATTATTTTTCCACGAGGATTTTTTAAAAATTATTTTTTTAAAAATTATTATTTAAAAATTATTTTTCATCATCTACAACAAACGTGGATTTTTTAAAAATTATTTTTCATCATCTACAACAAACGTGGATTTTTTAAAAATTATTTTTCATCATCTACAACAAAAGTGGATTTTTTTAAAAATTATTTTTCATCATCTACAACAAACGTGGATTTTTTTTAAATTATTTTTCTACGTGGATTTTTTAAAAATTATTTTTCATAATCTACAACAAACGTGGATTTTTTAAAAATTATTTTTCATCATCTACAACAAACGTGGATTTTTTTAAAATAATTTTTCCACTTGAATTTTTTAAAAATTATTTTTCATGATCTAAAGCAAAGTGGATTTTTTAAAAATTATTTTTCATCATCTACAACAAACGTGGAATTTTTAAAAATTATTTTTCATCATCTACAACAAATGTGGATTTTTTAAAAATTATTTTTCATCATCTACAAAAAACGTGGATTTTTTAAAAATTATTTTTCATCATCTACAACAAACGTGGATTTTTTAAAAATTATTTTTCATCATCTACAAAAAACGTGGATTTTTTAAAGATTGTTTTTCATAATCTACAAGAAACGTGGATTTTTTTAAAATTATTTTTCATGATCTACAACAAACATGGATTTTTTAAAAATTATTTTTCATAATCTACAACAAATGTGGATTTTTTAAAAAACTATTTTTCATGATCTACAACAAACGTGGATTTTTTTAAAAGTTATTTTTCATGATCTACAACAAACGTGGATTTTTTTAAAAATTATTTTTCCCTGGAAATAACGAACGCGGATTTTTTAAAAATTATTTTTCCATGGAAATAACGAACGCGGATTTTTTAAAAATTATTTTTCCATGGAAATAACGACCGCGGATTTTTTAAAAATTATTTTTCCATGGAAATAACGAACGTGGATTTTTTATATTCCAAAAAGTTATTTTGCCACACTGTTCCTCATTACTTTCGAAATCTAACACCCCTGACATAAAACTCCCCCTCTTGTTCGATGCTGTGATTTACATATTTTTTTCCTCAAGCTCACACACACACATACTTACCTCCTCTACCATCCGACAAAAAATAATAAAAACACAAATAATGCAGTTCATAACATCAGATCAACGCTGATGTTCAATATGGGAATTGTCCAACAGAAACCATTAGAGCTAACCTTCCCTCACCCAACACAAATGCATAAAATGCGGCTTACATCCTGCCAGTATAGATTCCATGTCGTTGTTGGTGTTCTTCTTGTAATAATGATGACGAGGGCAATGGTGGTGGTGGTGGTGGTGAGTGAATACGTTTCTGCATTATTTGTTATTTTTTCGCCAGTTGGCCGAATGAATGGCTGCCTGTCTGTCTGTGTGACTGGCTGGCAAGTCCATTAAGGCAGGACTGACATCATCAACAGCAACGACATCTCATAACCATCAACCATGGATGGCATCCCCTATGTCACTTGGGTATTTGTGAGCGAGCATTTCGAACATAGTTTGGTTTTATCCTTTTTAGAAAAATGCTTTTTTTCTTTCTCATTTTTTTTTTTAATCTTCAAAAAATCCACCCCTTTGCAGTTCTGCTAAGCCCCTTGAGGCTCTTTATGAAAAAACGTATTTTTTTGTTTTGAAAACAAAAAACAAAAATCCTAAATCCGATGGCTTATCGAATAGTTTCCCCTAATGATTTAGACAATTAAAATTGATGATGGACAGACAGACAGACAGACGAGAACGGCGGCCAGACAAATCTTTTAGCCTAAATATTTTCCCTGAAAACTGAAACCTTTTTTTACCCAAATCTCCCCTGCATTTTCATGTTTGCCGAACAAAAAGAGTCGTCGAGAGTATTCTCAGTAGATAAATCTATGGTTTTGTTGTTATTGTTGTTGCTGCTGCTGTCATTATTATATTACCAAACATAGCAATTACAATAAGGGTATAGATAAAAATCTCTCACAGCATCCCAATCGAAGAGAAAGAACTATGTTTCACTCTCGGTCGCTCTCCCTTTTTTCTCTACCCCACTCCAGTGAACCAGAGATAATTGAACAGAGCAACTTAACTGTTACTACGATTTCACACAACTCTCTATGAATGGCAGGGATGGGAAATGTTATATACTATTTAAAAATAAAAATTTATAGAAAAAAAAATAAAAAATATTTTTTTAAATGTAAAAAAAGAGAAAACTAAAAAAATTTAAATATTCAAATGAAACAAAAATTTGAAAATTAAATAAAAAGAAAATAATATAAAATAAAATAAATAAAATAATATCATATATATCGACATATATAATCCAACTAAACAATCGCAGCTAAAAAATAAAAAAATAAAAAATATTTTTCATGATTTACAACAAACATAGTTTTTTAAAAAAATATTCCTCATGATCTACAATAAACGTTTATTAAAAAAATATTTTTCATGATCTACAAAAAACCTGGATTTTTAAAAAATATTTCTCGTGATCTACGTTAAAGGTGGATGCATTAAAAAAATATTTTTCGTGATCTATAACAAACGTGGATTATTTAAAAGTTATTTTTCATGACCTACAATAGACGTGGATTTTTTAAAACATATTTTTTGTGATCTACAACAAACCCGGACTTTTTAAAAAATATTTTTCATGATCTACAATAAACGTGGATTTTTAAAAAAATATTTTTCATAATCTACAACAAATGTGGATTTTTTAAAAAATATATTTCATGATCTACAACAAACGTGGATTTTTAAAAAAAATATTTCTCATGATCTATGTTAAAGGTGGATGAATTAAAAAAATATTTTTCATAATATATAACAAACGTGGATTTTTTAAAAAAATATTTTTTATGATCTACAACAAACACGGATTTTTTTAAAAATATGTTTCATGTTCCACAACAAACCCGGACTTTTTTAAAAATATTTTTCATAATCTACAACAAATGTGGATTTTTTTAAGAAATATATTTCCTGATCTACAACAAACGTGGATTTTTTAAAAAATATTTTTCATGATCAACAACAAAATTGGATTTTTAAAAAAATATTTTTCATAATCTACAACAAACGTGAATTTTTTAAAAAATATTTTTCATGATCTACAAGAAACGTGGATTTAAAAAAAATATTTTTCATGATCTACAAGAAACGTGGATTTAAAAAAATATTTTTCATGATCTACAAGAAACGTGGATTTAAACAAATATTTTTCATGATCTACAGCAAACGTGGATTTAAAAAAAATACTATTTTTCATGATCTACAACAAACATGGATTAAAAAAAAAATTAAATTAAAAATAGACAATTGCAGGGAAGTAAAAAACTGTTAAAAAAAATGATTAAAGACTTTAAAATTAAATAAAAATTAATAAATTTTATAAATACGTATCAAAAATTAATAAAAATTGCGAAAAAGCCCTCCACATGTTACGAACCCAAAAACCTTGTTTTAGCCTATTTAGATGCAAAAATTTCCCTAACATCCTTAAAATCGAAAAGAAGTCCACACTGGGCTCACTGGGGCCTTTTTAGTCCATAATGTTTATTTTAAGTACCTATAACATTTTTTTATTTAAAAAATAAAAATCACATGTGTTTAAAAATCACCCAAAAAATCTCACATATCATCAAAGCAGTACATCTCAAAGCTGATTTTTCCTGCACAAAGTTTTGGATGTTGGATATATTTCTCATCATTTACGAGTTTATTGTCCACTCTTTGAAATGCTATAAACTTGCTGACATATATACGGATTATTTCGGAAGTTATGGCCTCTAGAAAGAGATTACCCAAAACGACTAAAAATTTCGACCATTACGGCAACTTAATTATTTCTATCATATCTCTGCTAATTTATGATCAACATTAACACGAAATATATTTTTCTAAATGTGAGACGTTCTTCTTTAAAAACGCTAACTTTTCTACTACGATATCTGGTCCAGTTGAGAAAGTATAACCATATGAGTGAAACCATTTTCGCATAGCCATGGTCATGTGAAATTGAAATTATGCGATTTCTTTCATTTCTTATGGAAGATTTCGGTTTTTGTGGGGTAAATTGTTCATTGTTGTAAAGAACAAAGTTCACTCTTTCTAGCGCAATTAATTTTATTAAGATATACCGACTAATTTTGATGTTATGACCATTAGGAAGTGATTACCGAAAATGACCCAAAATTTCGCTCGTTTTAAGGACTTTACTACTTTAGTCATATCTCCGCTATTTTATGATCTACATTTACGCAATTTATATTTTTAGAAAAGCGAAAAACTCTTCTTCAAAAATGCTGTTAGTTACATTTCGATATCTGGTCAAAGTTTGGAAATATGACCACATAAGTTGAACTATCATAGTAGAAAAATGGTCTAACAAAATTGCCATTATTAGTGACAATTTTTTGTAATTATTTTGAGAGTTCTCTGTCAAAATGACGAAAAATAATACATCATTATAAAGTTTACAGTCCAAGCTTTCCAACTTGATGAAATTCTTTAAGATATTCTGAGAAGTTTTGATATTATGACCCTTAGAAGGAAATTACTCAAAACGACCAAAAATTTCGCTCATTTCGGCAACTCTATTATTTTAGCCATATCATCGTAATTTTGCAATATATATTTACAAAATTTATACCATTGTAAAGAGGAGACACTCTTCTTCAAAAATGCTTTCAGACACATTTCGATATACTGTCAAAGTAAAGTAATATGACCACTTGAGTTGAACCATTATACTGGTAGTGGGTCTAACAAAGTTGCCGTTATTGGTGACAATTTTCTGTAATTATTATGGAATGTCTTTGTCTATATGACGAAAAATGATGCATCATTTAAAGTTTAGAGACCAAGCTTTCCAACTTGATGAAATTCCTGAAGATATTCCGACAAATTTCGATATTATAGCCCCTAGAAAGCATTTACCCAAAACGACCAACAATGTAGGTCATTATGGTATCTCTAGTATTTTGGCCATAACTCCGCTATTTCACAAGTTACTTTCACCTTACTCATGGCGTTATAAAAGTAAGATGCTGCCCTTCAAAAAATCTGCCATTTGCATTTTCAAATCTTATCAAGGCTAGAAAATATGACCACATCTGCGGAACAATCATTGTGAAGTCATGATTGTATAAAATTATAATCATTCATGACTTTCTTTTCATTTTTAACTAAAAGTTTTCGATCACTATGAATTAAATTGTACATCATTGTAAAGATTAGAGCTCCTTTTTCGAGCGCAATTAATTTCATACAGATTTACAAACATATGCCGAAGTTATGAGCTCTGGAATAGGTTGCCCAAAACGATCAAAAGTTTCGGCAATTTTGGCAACTCTGTTATTTTGGACGCAACTTCACCATTTGATCATCTACATTTCTAAAACGTATATCGTTGTAAAGGTGTGACTTCTTCAATTGAAAATGCTGCCAGACAAATTTTAATATCAGGTCAGGTTAAGAAAATATGACCATATGTCTCATCATCTTAGAAACATTTTTTTCTATATTTAAAAACAATGCTTTGTAGTAGCTTTAAAAAAGAAAATATTTTTTAACCATATCATAATTCCCGTCTCTGGTCTCTGAGTATGATTTTTTTAATTATTAAAAAACATAAAAGACATAATGCATTGTAGTATTCTAGTCAGATGTTATTTAAATTAATTTATTTGAAGACTTTAATAAAAAAATTTATTTTTTGCCATATCATAATTCCCATCTCTGGTCTCTGTGAACGAATTTTTTCAATATTTAAAAACATAAAAGTTTAATTAATTTATTCGGATTTACGTTAACTTATTTGGAAAAAATTGGAAAGAAAATATGTTCTTTTCCATATCATAATTCCTATCTCTGGTCTCTGAGTACGAATCTTTTCAATATTTAAAAACATACAAAACATAATGCATTCTAGTCAGATGTTCATAAAATTATTTTATTTGAAGACATTAATAAAAAAATATATTTTTACCATATCATAATTTCCATCTCTGGTATCTGAGTACGATTTTTTTAATAATTAAAAAAAACATAAAAGTTAAATTAATTTATTAGCATTAAAATTAATTTATTTGAAGACATTAACTAAAAAAATATTTTCTACCATATTATAATTCCCATCTCTGGGCTCTGAGTAGATTTTTTCGCAATATTTAACAACATAAAATACATAATTCTAGTCAGATGTTATTAAAAATAATTTATTTGAAGATATTGATAAAAAAATGTATTTTTATCATATTGTAATTTCCATCTCTGGTGTCTGAGTATGGTTTTTTCAATATTTAAAAACGTAAAAGATGATTTAATTTT